CATACCACACTAAATCATTAGAACAAGTGAAGTACCATGCCTTTGTAATTGCCAACAAACATGCTTACCCCAACAGCAAATTCCAAGATGTCAGCTCCTGCCTCTAGTGCCTTTGCAGTTTCTTCTTTGGCCATTTTGGTGATGAAGTTCTTGGCATTATTTGATGTTTGTGTCTGTAGAGCTGCCCATATGGCTTTAGCAACAACAGTATTCTGGCTATTTGGATCATTACTAGGATTATTAATCATGCCAATTCGAACATTATTGCTGGATTTCTGTGTTTAACAAAACATGCATTAGGAAAGGTTTGGAGTTCAGGTGTAGTTTAAATGAGAAGACTATTACAATAAACACTATAGGAAAAGCTTTTGTATTTCTTAACCAGAAAACAAGATTCCAAATTAGGTAAATAACAGCACAAGGTTAAAAGGATGAGTGAACTAACTTAACATCAAGTATTTAATTTACATGTAGGCACCAGTGTAATCTCCTGTAGATAATACTGTGTTACATAAGAGACCAGGGACCATGGCCACCGCTAAGAGGTCTGGCAAAACAGTGATTCGGGAGTGCTATCTATTTTTATAATTCAGTTACCTTCCCAGAACAAAGGAGGCAGGGAGCAATGCTCATGTTCATCTCCAAACCAAAACACAGACCTCTTCAATTTTGGACCATGGGCTTAAAAGAACAACTTTTCTTTGTTGTGTTATCATAGCGCCAAGAGGGGATTTTGTCCTAGTACGAGAAGGTCAGCGGTATCCCAGCCTCTACAGATAAAATGAGGCTGCAACTTAGAAATGCTGCAGGGAGAACCCATCTCCCCAGGGCATACAATAGGAAGAAGCACAACCTGTGTATTTCAATCCTCTACCTACTGCTTTATTAGCACTGCTAACCTGTTCAAATGAAAACATCACCTACCTGATGTTTAATTGCATCATACAGTAATTGCCTTCCTGAAGGTTTATCAAAATCACCAACAATCCAAAAAGTAACTGGTCTAACAAAGGAGTCATCTGCAATTTAAAACAGGGGTGGGAGAAATTTGAGGGTAAAGGGAAGGAAAGCTTCAGGTTTTCCTCATTTGGAGGAAAAATATGATGCACATGCAGAGATTTCAAAACAAGTAAGATTACACAGGAAAGCAGTGGATGAAGCTAAGCAATGACGTTTGGCAAGATAATAGTATTGGTATTACATTGGTTTCATTTGCCTCATTCAGAAAACCCACCTAGGACAGCATGCACCACTGTTTCTAAGCTCATAATTTTTTGTTTGCTACCTTTTTGATTTAGAAAAAATAAAGGAACCTATAAATAGAGATTCCAATTAGGGTACAATATTCTGCTTCTTTGTACTGAAGCTGTTAGTTCCCAAAATCAGTTTTGCATAGAGAAAAAAGTGCTGAAGCAAACATGCATTTAAACGCTTGCTTCACTTCCCGCTGGTTCTAAAGCCAGTGTTATAAAGGATCCAGAACATTCCCAGAACAACACATAAAATGCTAAAGCATGAGTTACCATAGATCTCCTTGGAAGACATTCCTGGTCAAAAAGCAGAAAGGAAAGGGGGAAAGGAGAGAAATATTAATAATGTGATAGTAATCCCAAAGTGCATCAAGAAGCTGCAGCACTGAACAGGACGTAACTGAATCAACTAGAGTTGAAGTCCAGCAAGCAACGAGTTTGTACTAATTTTATTAGAATAATCTTTGATTTTTTTGTTCCCCTCAAGTAGATCAATGCTTTATTTACCAGATCAATGCTTTATTTACCAGTTCCATACCCTGAAGGTGGCATTCTGAACACCCTTTGCAAAACTGCCATGCTATGACAACTTGAATGTTACCCATTTATGTTCTCTTCCCTCTTTAAAAGCTATCCAAATGGTGCTGTTTCAGTACTACTGCTGAGCCAACAGCATGTATAACTTTCCTATTTTTTTAGAAAATAAATGTGCTACGGAATTGCTGTAGTCAGATACCAGTTATTAAATATCTTAAGTGACCAAAGAGGCAGTGACCCAGAACTGTCAAGCCATGCAGACTTTCACATGAGAATGCAGGAGTGTAGGTTTAACTAATAACCTACAAAGGGAAAACAAGAAACTTGTTCAGATCAAAGTGACTGAACATGAACTGCAGGCAATCAGGAGACAGAAGGAGCAATGGGAACGTCTAAGGCAGTGCATGCAGGTGGCAATGGCTGGAGACAGTACTGGTGAAACTTCTGAGAGTCTAGTAAAGACAGCAGGTAGGAACAAGAGAAATCGGTTCAAATGACAGCAGCTTATTTGTGATACCTAACTGAAATGGATACAGGGAAGGCCTGATTAAGTTCTGTATTATGTCTGTGCATGCATTTTGCACATTGAGAAGTACAGATGAGATTTAGCACAAGACTGTATAACTGCAGTAGAACAATGTTGTCATTGAAAACAAGCAGTACATGCACTGGAGCAAAAAAACTAGCACAGACCACACTGGGTGTTGTCATATAATGGGCAGTAACAATTTTCTTCTGAATCCATGTAACATTAAGTAATTTTGAGATATGGGATGGAGAGTTACAATCCCTTTTGTGTTTTCTAGTCTGTGTCACTGCAGGATCAGAGCTTATGCTGCTGCATTTCTGGCAGTCATGTGCAATATAGCAAGAGCAGGTTGGGTAGGACTTCATTATTCATTGAAGGCTGGGCTGTGTTTAAAGCAGAGAACATTCTTGTTTCACCCTTATAAGAAAAAAATTAAATCTTTCTCTTTAACACTTGGATTGTACCATTACCCACAGACCTGACCAAAGCTCAACATGTGTGTTGAGAACTGTACTCATGCTGGGAAACACACATAAAATTAGATTTAGGTTCATAATCCACTGCAGATGTTACCTTTCTTTGTTAAGTAGGTCATGCTGTTTGCAACAGCAGATGTCTTATCTTTGGAGTCCAATGTGGTAAATCGAGCAAAGTCATCTACATAAAAGTTACCTGAGGAAGAGAAAAAGTATTAGATGCCAAAGCAACTATTCCCTGTAAAATTAAAGAAAAATCACTACTATTACTTGAACATTAAGACCACATCCCATTTTGTTCCTTGCAATTTTGCTTTTTATGTTTCATTTCCACTGTTAAGCTGAAGAATATATTTCTGTTGTCTCATAGGTTACCTTTTTGTCTCCTAAGTTACATTAGCTACATGGCGTATTTGATATGCAGAATATGCAGAAGTCAACTGAAAGAACTGTTTAAGTCTCACTTAGTTGAAGTTAATTTATGTAAATAATATACATTTAAAGTCCACTGTGTTACTACTTTTCAAGCAGCTCAAAAAAAGTAATTTTAGAAGTGGTTTTGCTATGCTGTCAGTATTCTGCAGAGTCAAACCACCAGGTGTTAATACATTTAGACATGACAAATTCTAAATCTTAATTGCAAAGATGACTGTCAATCTCTGCTCAAAAGAAGGTTAGAAATAAGAACCAAGCTGTTGCTGTATACATCATATTACTGTACTTGGCTTTTACTAGCATTGCTAATTTCTCAGCCTCATGAGTCATATTCCCCTAAAGGTTTATATAAAATCAAACCAAGATCCTGTTTTGATAAATCCGTAGACATTAATGTTGCTGTTGTATGTAACATCTCTCCTCACCCAGGGCTAGAACATCACTTGGGGTGTTGTTAATACTTTGCCACTAGAGCTTTCCATTGGGACAGCAGAAGTATTTAAATTGGATCTATCAGGTTTAATGCAATTAAAAGCATCCCTTACTCATTCCTGTCAAATCTAGGTACTCTCTGTCAGACATTAAAATTCTTGAGTTAATTCTTGGAACAACATTAGGCTGGTTCATGATGTATTCAACCACATCTTGGTCATTAGATAATTCACCCTGAAGGAAGAAGAAAAAAAGTAGTATTAGTTATTTCACGTTTATTTGCCTTAATAAGGTAAAACACACACACACCCCAAACAAATACCCACATCCACCAACAGAAACCCAAACCAAGAACTGACGCAAGTTAAGCTGTCTTATATAGTATTTATTCAGGGTCTTTTGAGTTAAGTTTTTCCCATTGTTGTTTCTCTCTAAAGTCAGAGCTCAGCTCTGCACCTACCAGGTACACAGCTCGCTGGAAGATGCTTGTCGTTTCCAGGATTTTGTGCATTGTCACAGTTTCCAGATCATCAGGATCCAGCTGATCTTTTTGAAAAGGCATTCCATTGAACAACACAACAGGGAGAGGACCTACACCCGTTTGCTCATAGTAACCTCTTGCTGCCTAAATACAGGGAAAGAAGTAGCTTTACCACATCAGCCCATTACCACAAGGGTTGACAACATCTGCTTGCAATATCCACAAGTCTATGCTAAAGACACTGAGATGTCCTTCTAACCTTCATATCATATTTAGAATACTAATTTTATGCAGTGTATAAGACATTTTCTGTATCTTATATGTACAAGATGGCCTTGTCTTTCAGAGTTTCAAAGGAAAAAAAAGTTACTTCATAATACAGTAGAGCAAAATATTCCATAAGCTCAGACTGTAAACAGATTAATTCCAATGAACACTTTCTGGTAGTAACAAAAAAATGCACAACAGAAAACCTGACTTTGCATATGGAAGCAAATACAGTTGTAATGTAAGACAGGGTAGAAGGTTTTCATTTTTTAAGAATGTTTCTACTCGGTTCTAGTGCTATACATACAGATTTTTAAAAATATGTATTACAGTATATAAAGCTTTGTGCTGAACATAATTACTGAAGTATTACTACAAGTCACTCAATGTAACAACGAAGCAGGTACATGGCTTGTAAGAGAACTGGATCAAGAAATTGTACATAACTGTATTTCTAAAACTGTTGAAGCAAAGAAAGTGAAAACCCCTCTAATTCCTGAATTCTTACCTTTCTGTTTTGATCATAGGCAGAATCAATTCCCAGAACGCTGTTGATTTCCACATAAGGATACTGTTTCTCAAGAACACTAACCACATGCTCCACTTTGAGCTGATCTCCTGTTTTTACTTTGTTATATATCTGAAAGGGGGATACAAATACAAGTTTACAGCTGCAACTGTAAAGTGTCTGTCCTTATCAAAGGTAAGCTGACCTGCCATCTGTGTTCCAGTAATTATAAGGAGGCATTAAGAGCAAGACTGCAAAACATGTATTTGTGTTTATTAGCTACAATAACAGCTCCTAAGTACTTGTAGTGCTTAGAATTATCTTGCTTTTACCTTGTTGTCATTCTAGTGAGATTGGAAGGAGGTAAATATAATGTATTTCCTTATGTAATAACTTGCATCTTTAATTAGAAAAGTTATTTGAGGGGGAAAGGTAGTGCTTAGGGAGGGAAAAAAGGCTCAAGTAAAGCACATCCAAAGAACTACCCTTCCCTTTCAGAACCCAAGACATGTTTTTAAACAATACAACAGACCTCACATGTAAAGTAGGTAATTGGTTCCCTTTTGAAGGTACAAGATTTTACTTTGACTTACAAATACATACCAAGTCAAATGAGAATAAAAATAATTTTCTTAAGGTCACCATCAGTTTAAAGTTACAGTATGCCCCAGATTGCTGATTTGTACAACAGTGTCAAACCACAAGCAAAACTGCATTTACTTAGCACATAGATTATGCTTTGATGTGGCAAAAGTATGCAGCAGGAACTGTTCAAAACAAATTATAATATTGAAGGGATAGAGCGGTTCAGAACTGACTGGCAGAATGAGCAAAGAAGCAGGATCAGAAAACTGTGCATAAGTGTTAAGTGTCACATTATACCTACTCTTGCTTGTTAAACTTAGGTCAGAAGCACTTCACAGAGCAGCATGTGTTGTGTGGTACTAGTGTTCAGAGGTACTCTGAATGCTAACAGTCAGAATTTCTTCCCTTATCTACATATTGGCACATTAACATAGTCTCACGTACACAGAAAATGTTAACATGTTAGTGTCCATTTTAAATGAATACTTACAGACATGACAGTCTGGAAAGCGTAATTATTGTCCATTTCTTGTGCCACATAATTGTATGTCCTAAGGAGGGCAACACCTGGATCCTGAAGTCCATCAACATCCTCTGAGTCATTAACCACAAAGACTAGTCCTATCCTGCAATCAAACAAATCCCCAGATCATTAAGCTATTATACTAATAAATCATCGATTCTGCATACAACTGTCAGCTGTGATCAGCATCTTAGATAAAGGATTTTTCTGGAATAGACTGATAAGATTTCGAGCATGGAGGCCAGCAGTCAAACTTAAGACATACAATCTCTAACAGTGAATCCCATCAGAGTCTTGCGTTTCATCTCTCTTTCATCTAATGTACTTGCTTTTAGGTTTTTTTTTGACTGTTAAAGAAACTGAACTCTGTTTTGCGAATAGCAAAAGTTATATTAAAAAAGAAAATGAAATAAGAACCAATACTTAATAAATGCACTCCCCCACCACCAATACAAAACATGGAACTTTTCCACAGTGCTCTAGCAATGAGAATTTTACATTTGCAAGCGTCAGAAAAATAAAAGTCATGTAAAAAAATTCCAGTTAAAACACAGCAGTTACCTCAGTGGGATGTGGTTACTGAAGAACATCTCTGCCACATTCAGTAATTCTGCAGTCGTCTCGTGAACAGGATCTACTATCAGCACCTGTGTACAAATTGCAAGTGAGAAGTCTCTATTCCCTTAAGAAGTTTTTGATTAGAGATAGCTTCATTCACGTTTCAGCGCAGAATTATCATCAGTCCTACTTAGGTGAGGCCTTAATAGTTTCTTCTAAAGTCTTTAGGTCCATTATCTGAAATACCCAGTCTAAACCACTCCTTTAACCAGAAAAGATCAGACTTCTTATGTACTTTGTATCTTTACCCCAAGTATATGCTAGCATCTAAGTTTCTGCCTCTGTGAGTACACAAATCCACCCTTAATTAATGCAGTCTTCACTATGTGCATGGGAGATAATCTGTTGGAGTTGAGGAACACAGCACTGCTTTGCTCAGCCCCCTGGAGAGCTGATGCTGCTAAGACATGCTCAAAGCAAGCCCAAAGCCAGGGAGAACCAGGACATCCAGAATAAATTTAGGGCCCTTTATTCATGCCAAGTGTTGTCTTTTTACTTAATTTCAATGTTAGAAGTACTAAACTCCAGAGAAAAAGATAACGTATTAATACTGGCAGTTTGAGGTGATTCAGGTCCCTGTTTGCCACTAATCACAGGAGTCCTTTTTAATATAGGGCCACATGACATGAATTACAGTACATAATTTACAAAGTCCTTATTAGATCTAATTTTAAGCAGTTTACCTAGAGACTAAAAGGACACCTAGGATTAAGCTGAGGGCCGCTGACCATCTTTTAAAGTCTTGGTGCAAGAATGCTTTGCCACTGAAGTACCTGAGTTGGTCTTGACCCTGGCTGGAAGCTACTAATTACCAAATTTGAGGATTCAGGTACTACCACAAAGTTGAAATGCATTCTCACTCAGCAGATGATAGTTTTTTCCACTGATGAAGCAGTTTTTGGCAGCTAATAGATGCCAAAATCATGCTCAGTAATCTCTGAATCTCAGCCACAACTTACTAGTACAAGTAGAACAAAACCTGTTAGAGAAACTACCCATCTCAAGATATTTAAGTGACAGGGAATGCAGCTTATATGTAGTAGGTGAGTTGCAAAAGCTAATGTCCCTGCTGTTGAAAAAACAGCACACATTTCGTTTCTAGTGAGGTTACTACTTACGAAATTATGGAAGTTTTTTCTGATTTGTCTGATCACTCCTGGAAACGTGGGACGCAGCAGTTCTTGCACATTGGAAGGCCAGGAATTATACCGACTGTCAACTTCCAGATTGTTGATCCACTGAGGAAAAAATACAGGCATTTAAATGACTGACAGTCCTCCTGCTGATACATATATATATATATGTGCTGAAAATATCCTGCTGCTATTTTCAGATCAGACACTATATTGAGATCTGTATGAATAAAATGTTAAGCTTTTTAAAAAGAGCTAATTATATCTTTCTTTCTTTACTGCAGTTTCAGAGCTGATGGTGAGATAAGATCCCAAGTTCCCATGAACAGCCCAACAACACATAAAATCTCTCTTCTAAAAAGCCATACGCACTGAAATAGCAGAGCTTCTGATGTCCACAGCATAATCAGAGTCTGATGGCTGGATGTTCAACTTCAGAACATTGTGCAGGGAAAGCCCCTCAATTCCTAAGCTGTGTAGGCCTTCCATAACACGGGCTTCATTGCGCAGCACATCAATTAAGCTGGAAGGAAAAGAGAAATCATTGATGAATTTTAAAGACAAGGTAAATAACTTGCTCTTACCCTAAGGGGTAATGTCTGTGCATTACTTCTTATTTCTTCCTATTTCTAACTGTCCTAAGAAGCTTGAACTAACTTAAACATATTCAATTACATTGTAATTCTAGGGAAAACTACATGAAATAATTAAAGCATGATATACATATGTATTTCAATTCCATATTATTGGAGCAAATTTTAACCAGGAGGGTGGGTTTCAGATGAAGAATTTACAATGGTTTATCCTTTGAGAATCAGTCTGCTGTCTTCAGAATAAAACCTGTGTGGTGACTGTGTTTAGAGACCAGAATTTTGCTATTCAGAGCACAGATAAAAAGGATAGTACAAAGGTGACCTCGCATTCCGGTCTTCAAGGGTATTCCAGTTTTCATCAGGATTTTTGTTAGAAATGCACTTGCATAAGAGAAGGAACCATGATTGGCTTTTTTCAGTACTTAACATTTAAACCTAGTCTAGATACAGACTTCATGAAGAAGGTTCAAAATTCTCTTAAATGACCTTATCATCCATGTACAAGCAGGATGCAAGCTGCTAAATAGGATAAAATTATTCTGAAAAATGTAACATTCCTACCTAAATATGTCCTGAGTGTCTAAATCAATAAGCAGTCCATTGATGAACAAGGCAGAATCTCCTGGTTGCAATCCTAATGTTCCTTTGAAATACTGAAAGAAAGTAGACAATCATTAGAAGAATGCTCTGCACAGAAAAATCATTACTAGAGTGTTTAATGTGCTGAATTGTGGATTATATCTCCCTTATAGCATTACAAATTGCATCCCATTGCTTCTCAACTGCAGTCTTGCCTGACTTTGTGCACACACCTGTACCAGATGAAAAAACAACTGAAACTATTTAGTGCATAGATACTTAAATCAGCTGTTTCTTTCTACATGATTCAGCAGTGCACTGGGAAGTCCCTGAGTTGACTTTTTAAATATACTCAGATGAAATAATTAAAAATACTTGTCTTAGCTCTTTAACATGCAGTTTTGGGCAGAACAGACATAAACAGCTGGATATTGCATGGTACTCTCTAGTAGAACTACTGTGTTTAAGGTACCAGTTAAGTCCTGATCTAGTGGGTATGTCGTCAAGTACAGGAGCTGCCATTGTAGTCTGACCTCCCCAAAACCAGGAAGTACACCAGTGGAAAAAGCTTTACCAATATTTTGGAATTTCTGTCAGGTACCTCTAAGCAATACCCCATTTGAATGGGTAGTTGTCCCTGAATTGAGGCACCATCACAGAGAACAGTTTTGAACTGGGAGAGGTGAATAAAACACAGTCCTCCTGGAACAGATTTCCCAACTCTAGCATGTTTAAAACCTGAAAAACGGCACTGCTTTCTTCAGTAGCTCTTGTCTTGCAGTACCAGTTACAAAATACTATGAAGAGGCACTATGAACACTGGAGGAGAAATATAGTATTTGTACACTGAAAAACACTAATATCATGAGGAATGCGAGCAAAACAAACAGAGGAATAGTGAAGTACCAACAACAGGAAAGCAGCATCTAATTGGGAACAATTTATGTATTTTATTAAATAAAGACTCCCAGAGAAGAGCTGAGTACATGCAGTGTTAATTATCCACAAAAAGATACAATTTATATAGTAAACTAACTTACTAATAGCAGTAAACTTCACTATCAAATAATACCCCCACAAACTGAGTCATGCCAAGAATAGCCTTAAAGGGCAGGGTTAGATCTAGCCAGATCTGGATCTAAACCTTGAGTAAAAATGAATCCACAAAATCATGGATTTACCTGCGGACCAGTGTGATCTAACATGTAACAGAAAAGCCACCAGGTAGCTTTCATTTGCACTTATATTCTATACCTTGTCCCTTCCAGGACCACACTTGACAGCAGTGTCAAATTGCATCCCTTCTTTTCTGATTTTATCCCTATTGAACAACAAGGAATTTCTCTTTGAGAACAGGAATCTCCATGGACTTGTAAGTAGATGTCAGGTACCTTGGCATTTACTACTAGACTAGCCAAATATCATTTATTAGATAAAGACATAAGTGTGTACTTAATATACTTCGTATTTTTCCTATTAATACCAAGCGAGACTAAAATGTGCGAATAGATCAGCATAGATCATACAGTAAAAGCTGTTGTTTGGCTTTGTTTTCATTGCCATTTTAAACTTGCATTTTGCACTCTATCCATACTGCACTACCAGGGGTATTTTAACTGTACAAAATGCTGTACAAAAGTCTGTAGAAAATTCCCAACTGGCTACTTTTTTATTTGCCAGTGCTTTGCTGATGCCAAGTACACAGCAGAGCTGTTGAAACATTTTTCTGCAACACCAGAGCCTACTCAATGACCTCGGGGTCCTTCACAGGCCCATTTTTTTGTGTTCCTGTTTCAAAGCACATGTACACTTACTTGGGTAGCTGCTAAATTTTATTCCTTCACTAGTTTCACTCTCAAAGCATTGGAACCATTTTCTTGCACAAAATATAAATCATTCTAAGCCATGGCAGAAGGGTTCAAGTTTATTCTGTGACTTATACGTAAACACCAGTGAATTTAGGAATCTAAGCACCATCTCAAATTGGGCAATGAGAACTACATTTCTTCTACATTCTCAGAACTGTAAGAAAATGCTTAATAGATCTGCTTTTTAAATAGCTTTCTGACAAGCTACATTCCATCTAGCTCAGACATTTTAAAATAATCTAAAAATATAATTACATTTTGACTCTAACAACTTCCACCAAAAAGCACTCGCACTTCTAGTATCTAGGTGCTTTGGAGAAGTCCAGAATACAATCTAAACCTAACTTGAAGCCAACCTCTTTTTAACTGTTACCCTGGACAAGTAGTGCTTATGGCATTCAGACTTGACACATCTGCTGCACCACTCAAATAAGAACTAGGTCAGAGACTGAAAGAAGGCCACCCAGCAGGCACAGTTCTGCAAGAAACATACTGTCTTTATAAAAGCTTGCTGGCAAGTCATCACTACAAACACGTAACTTGGAAACAAAGACTGATGTGACACACACATCACAATTTCTACTGCTTCATTTTCACCCAGTCCCATTCTGCAGATCACATTAAGACACTCTGCATGGAAATCCTAAGAACACTTGCACTGTATGTTTTCTTTTTTCTCCAGGGTTAACAACATAGTACTTTAATTGTATTGAAAGTTAATTTTATAAAGATAAATAAATGCAGGTACCACATTCTTAATCCGGATACAGAACAGAAGGTCACTTTCATACGCATGAACAAATACTCGCCAAATAACTATCAGAACACTTGACTACTGTGAACAGCCATTGTAGGGGCAGCTCTGCAAACAAAACCCCGTATCACCATTCCCCAATACAGTCATCTCACTCAAAGAATTTATGACAATATATTCATATTTGAGCATACAAGCTAAATTGTGTTCCTAATCCATGTCTGAAAATCCACCACTTTTTTAATTCCTAGATGCACACTAAGACACAGGTGTGTGTGAAAATACCAACTCAATTTTTTGAGCAAAATGTAAACTTTTAAATAGAATCATTATTTTCAAAGTTTGAATTTATACTAAAACATAAGCGCAAAAGCACTATGTTACTTTCTGGAAGCATTACCTTTTGGTTCTCTTCAATTTCTGCTCTGAGTTCCGAAGAAACAACTGTTTTCGTTATGGCTCTACATAAATAAAAACATCACATTGTGAATAATCTAATGGATAAATACCTACTTATCCTACTTTTTGTACCTCATCTATGAATATATTTAGTCTCCTAGTATAAAGACCTGCATTCACTTGCACTTTGTGGTACCATTAAACAGTAGGATGCACTATTTTTCCTTACATTTTATAATTCAACAGAACATAAAAATGAGAACCACATGCCAAGTGCCAGTATCTAATTTCATATTAACTATAATAAAAGCAGGCAGCTGCCAGAAAGGTGGAGGTGGAGGCTGGCAGCAGAAAATAGGGGGATTTCACTCCTCATGGTGGGTTCCCATTCCTTTCCTTACATTATTGTGTCTAGTAATTGCATCATCACAGAACAGGCAAGTACAGCTCACATACATGACTAAAACCACAATGAGACTGCAGTGCCTACTTCAAGAAGATATAAATAGGACAAATCTTAACATCAGTTAGTGGGAAATCAGAATTCAGCTTCTTTGTATTTTCAGGTGTATCTCCACCTACTCAAATAGGAAGAGCTACTATAATAACATCTTCACAGCCCAGGTCATCTCATTTATCAGAAGAAATATATTTCTAGAGTGGTTGGGCAGGCCAGATTATGACTGAATTTCTTGAAATGAATTTGAATATGCTCAAGACATGGACAAAGTGCAAAAACAGTGGGATTGCACATAAGTCTCTGCCATGAGATTGACTGGGCGTTTTGGCAGAGTAGATCCAGAAGAAGACTGGGATCTAGTGAATGGATAAACCTTAAAGCCACCAAACAGAAAACCTATCCAATAAATTCTTGAGGACTTGATGCAAAATGTTCAGAAGCATTTCACAACAAAATACCATGGATAATTCTGTAAATTTTCTGCCTGTCCACATCAACTGCCATCCAAGAAAAACACTGCAAGAGATCCTCTTTGTAACCCTAGGCTGAAGAACTTCTCTACCCAAACATTCCCCAGTGTTTGCTTCCAGTCAAATGGAAACTTGGACATTAACCCAATGCTGCCTGTCTCAGGAAAAAGATAGTAAGAAAACTTCCTAGAACTCATAATTAAAGTTACCTGGCCATAGTAGGAAAGTTCTGACTCAGGTCTTTCATGACCATCAAAGCATCCACAGGGGGAGCAGTCAAAATGCGAGCAGCACTTTGAAAACTTAAATCTACAAGTGAAAGAAAACAGAAGTTGAGAACTGTAAACTGAAAACAAGGCAGTGCAGTCATCTTCACTTTAGCTTTTGACTGGTTTTGCTTATTTGTTACCTATGAAAATTTGTTTTCTAGCTGCACCTTTAGATACTTAAAAAAAACAACAAACATCTTCCTTTATTCAACGTATATTTGTTGCCTTGAAGTAAGTAACACTTTCAAATGTATCCTGTCCACAGGTTGCTGCAGTGAGTCCAGACCACCACCTTTTTGTTTTGGCTGAGGTGGGAGGATCTGCCCTTCAGAAGGAGTCTGGGTACTTGTTAGAAGCTAGAAATCTACAAGCTAGAAATACAAACAGCCATCTGTTGGATATAAGTAGATTCTCTGTGACTATAACGTATGCTCAGCATTTCAGTTACTCTTTTTTTCCAGAGGACAAAAAGCTTTTCCACAGGCCTCTACAGATGATTCCCAGGAAAACAGGCCAGAGTTGTGTATATGCAGATGCTTTTGAAATACGGTTTTTCTTTGGTGTTGAGAAATCTCAGCTTTCCACACCAAGCATGTGACCACGGAAAGAAACTTTGCATTTCCTTTGCTTTTCTGCATTTAGCAGATCATACAAAATGGTCAGTTTAAGAGCAGGTGGCTTACTGTACTTCACAGTATAGAAAGCAAACCTCATTTCAGAAGTCCTGTGAAACAATCTTTTCTAAAAGCTATCTCAACAGGAGATTACAAAGGTACTTTTGAAAATCCAGAATTTTCCAATGCAGGAATTTTCAGTCAAGCTCTCTCAACTGTATGCAGCCACTAGCAACCTCATCTGTGTAGTACACAAGAAGATAAGTTTACATTAAGGTTTTGCAATACAACAGTGAAACCCTCATATAGATTACCTTGTAGCTGCCATACTTTCAAAGGTGCCATTTCATTGGTACTTTCCACGAGGTGTTTTCTAAGCTCTTTCAGCTCTTCTGTCAAGTCAGGATACAACTGCCTAAAAGGGTATGAGGGTAAAACAATTTCTTGGGTTTCCTAAAAGCGAGTCTGCTGCTAATTCTAAGAAACTAACATATGGAAAAGTATGCTGCTTATATCAGTGAATAACTCAGGCATTTAAAAAACAATAAGGAGCAAAAACCATCAGCATCTCTACATGTTTTCTGATATGACAGAGATCAACAACTTAGAAGTTCTACCTTAGTTTTCCAAACAGAAATCCTTGCACTTCATCAACAGGGTCATTTTCACCTATTACTGTAGCATTCACATCTGTGCCTGTAAACACATAAGATAACACTATTGTTACCAAGCTGTTCAGAAACAGTTCTTGCACTCATTTTGATTAGTTTAACAAAAATACACTGCAGAAACCAAAAAGAAGAAGGAAAGGGCGAGTTTCAGATTTAACTTTTAAACCTTATTGAAGAGACATTACCTTTACAAATGAACATAGTAACAGCTGAAATGAAACAAAGTTGGATTATTGAGAAGAAAAAGCTTAAGATAAGTGGATATCTCAGAGAGCTAAGCATTTCAGAGGAATTCACTAGGACCTAGAAGCTTTCAGGACATGACATGCAGAGCAACTGCTAAACTTCAGTTGTGATCACAGCCCTGATTTTAGCTCCAAAAACCATGATAAAATAGTAACATCTGAGTGAAGTCCAATTCTGGGTTTAAACATCAAAAATAAATCTGTGCAAGACTCACACGATCTTCTAATTAGCTGGACAGAAGCCAACTCCAATCTAGATGTTTTATGCTAAAGTCGAACTCAAGATCCTGACCTTTTGATGAGTGTTTGCTCCTGGGCAAGCCAAAACAGTCATCAATAAAAGACTGCACAGTCAGAACATTCATAAAATCAGACAGGAGCTGGAGGAGACCCTGTCCTTGTTCCAGCTGGGATAGAGTTAATTTTCTTCCTAGTAGCTGGAACAGTGTTGTATTTTGGATTTAGTATAATAGTGCTGAGAAAACACTGATGTTCTAGTTGTCAAGTATTGTTTATTCCTTCTGCTCCTCGTTATTATTATCGTATTTTACTTTTATTTCAATTATTAAACTGTTCTCATTGCAACCCAGAGGTTTTTACCTTTTTTTTTTCAGGTAAACAGTTATTCATGTAAAAACCATACAAAATTATCTTTGAAAAATTAAGATGTTCACATTAACATACTTAAAGTAATAATTCACCTTTCACCTGTGTATCATCCTTGGCCTTATATTCTGTACTTTTAATAGCCAGTTCCACACCATAGCCAGAGAGGTAGACTTTTTCTTTACTGGGATTCTGTAAGGAAAAGCAAACGGTACAGTATTGCCACTCTTTGGTTTGATGCACAAATGAAAGGCTGCCGTTGCCCAAAGGTAAGAAAGCTCTAGGTGGTATACATTTCAGACATAACTGGTAATAGAGAAGTGAGGAAAACACAATGAATGATTCTGTAGTATATATTGTAATATTATATTTCCTGCTGTATTTCAATAGAATTTTTTTAATTTCAGTGAGCAAAGATACCTCGTGGACAAGAAAACCACTGAAAACCACAAAGTAAAGAGGAACACAAAACGATGTTTTCAGGATTCAGCATAAGCCAAATAGGACAGGACAGACTCACATCATCAAATCAAGTAAGAGGAGGAAAAGGAACTTCAGCTGTGAAGTTCAGAAATGAAACATTCATTACAAAAAAGTAGTAAGTCAGCGACTCAACAGAGATGTATAATTAGTTCTGTTTTTAATGGGAAACAAGTGTGATGACTTCTTAGAAGTATTCTGAAGTATACAGGAGTCCCACAACTGTATACAGATCTCTTGTGCAGTACACTTAATTTTGAATGTAAGTACTCCATCCAACACTGATAAACAAATACCTTTTTAAAAGTAAGTGGCATATGCAAGAATATGACTTTATTAATAATAAAGTGCAAAGATCATTAAAAGTGAATCAGCTAATGCTTTTTTTGCATTGAAGTCTGGCTACTAACTAGCTGCTATACTGCAGGTTTTAGCAGTATTAAACAATATGCAGGAAAAAAGTCAAATAAATTTCTCAGAGCTTTTGAAATGTAGCTTTAAACACTAATCCAGTGGTAATGGGCAATTTAGGGGAGGGGGGTGGAAATCAGGACAAAATGCATTAGGACTGGTAAGCAGTTCTGTATTATTACAGAACCATCTGCTGTGGAAATAGCACCTTTATTTGAAAGCGTTCAGGTTAATCTTTGCTTTTCAGATCAAGTAACTAAGTGGCCTGCCTGTGGAAAGATCTGATTGTTTCCTGTAATCTAATATAGGTGAAGCAAAGTTTTTTTAGATTAAAGCCTATAATTAATCTGGAGTTTAACTCTGCATTTGTAAAATCAAATGATCCTCCTATTTAAAAAAGCAGGAGGTTTAAAATATTATGTATTCCTCAGGTACATGCAATAGAAAACAAACTTTTGAGTATTCCAAATAAATATCAAGCAGCAACACATTATGCAAATGTCAGTTTAAAGGGAACAAAGTTGGCCAGTTTTCTTTTCATAAAACCCAGGTCAGTTGCTTTTTCCATGTCAAATACCTCTGTAACAACACACAAATATACTTACAGCAATATAGTGTCTGAGGACATAAGTGATTTCCCCTGCCTCAGCCTTTAAAACAAGCTTCTTGTGGTTTCTGTAGAACTCCTCTGAGCCAATCTCAGCATAAAGTATGACGACAGGACTCTCAGGGTTTGACACTGGGTACTTGTGATCACCTTTGAACAAAAATGGCTTTGGCCTAAGAATAAACATTGGAGATTAGCACACTGTACTTCACAGCATTTCTTCACTCAGCGCAAGAAGCAAAATCTCTTTTTTTCATGTTGAATCACTGTTCATGTCTTCACTGAATACTTACATCAAGCTATTCATACAGATCATCAAGGTTGGCAGCACTCGATGCATGTTGATAAAGCTTGTTTAAAAATGGACATATGAAAATGAAGCAAGTAGCAAGGTGCTGGTTTGAACCTAACATGATCCTTATTTTAAAAACTGACCACTTCCCTTAAACTTCCAATTAACTTCTGTGCCCCAAGTGCTCAATCATAAATTCTGTATAAAAAAGTAAAAGGCTAACAGAGCAAACGTTCCAGGAACTCAAACTGGAGCAACAACCCTGTCCTTGGTTAATATACAAACAAAAAACTGAATGAGAAGACTGTTTTCAACTTGGGTATTTAAATTTTGTCTAAGATAAAATGAAGTATTTAAAATATTCCCAGTGAGTCAACAGAACAGCATGTGAGCTACCGATGTCTACACATTGAGCAGAAACCCCTTATGCTTACAAAACCCAAAACTACCAGAATTACTATGGAGACAAACTGAAATTTAAGGGTTTGAGTTTGGCTGGGTTTTGTTTTGTTGGTTTTGTTTTATTCTAAAGAGCTTATTACATTTTACGGTTTCTTGTTGTTACTAAAAGTTAAAGTGAAGTTCTGTCCTTGTAAAGAAATCTGATCTTGTATTACATCATGTGGTAATAGTTTTCTTTGTCAATGCTGAGAAGATTGTACAGAGAAAAATACTGTGCATGTTTCAAGCCATTCATGAAACCATCTCTGTTATATTAACCATCATTTTAATATGTAGCCCAGCTCTTTCTAGTCACCCGACATACTAAAGGCTTTACATATTCCTGAGAACTCCTAATGTACTTCAGCAAATGGTTTCCCACTTTTCCTGTGCGCATTCCTCTTCCTAGCATAATATCAGAGCAAGTGATATGAAAACAATCATTCCAATCTGGATTAATAAGAAATAAGAGACTGCCACTTGTGTGCAAGCAGTGGACAGTATAAAGCAGCACTGAACAATGTAGAAACAATTATTCTATCTCTTTACAGCAGTAAGTCTAACTAGGTTAAATTTTAAGCGCTAATCCAGTGATGCAACAGCAAATACCTTTCTGAAGCTCCCTCTAAAAGGTTTCCAAGCAACTCAAATTCACATGTCTTATCCCCATGCACAGCAAAAAACAGGGTACAGCCCTTTGGCGGAGGTTCATCTGCTGCTATCTGTATGAAAATATTTGTGATAGAGTAGGTTAAATGTCTGCCTTTAGAACAAGCAAAAATGATAACAGCATAGCTCTCTGTGCAGTCAGTCTTCTTTGATTTCCTAAAGCCTAAACTAGTACTTCTTTGCTATTTATTACATCGTTTAAATGCAAGGTAGAAATTGCAAAATTGAGAGTTAAGTATTATTATAAATATTTCTGCAGACTATTACTATTAACTGTACTATTGATTCTAGGTACAAAAAGCAAGGCTTGCAATTGTAGGGTGTTTGGTTGAGGTCTCTTTTGCATTACACATCAGAAACCTCTATATTTCTTAAACATCAAATGACAAAATGATTCCAGATGACAAAAGGAAGAGGTCTTCTAGAATTACCTAAATAAAGCACATTATAATGTGACATAGTTTGTAATGAGTTTGAGAAAGAACAAAGTACAACTTATGTAAACATTAGAGCTATATATTCGTGGGTTACTACCTTCAACTAAGTACAACTGAATAACAGGGAAAGCAGCAGCAGCATCACAGGTTTCAACAAAGCAGCTCATACAAATCTTCACACAATTGTTAGTGCAGTGGGCATCAATGATACGAAGACATGTTGAAATCCCAATTCTTCTGTCTACTCTACACAGATGGACGCAAATTTGGCACTCACTGAAATTAGCAGATACGTCTGTTATGCTATCAAATGTCTCCTTACACAGCTTGTTCCTTCCTGGGCTTTAGGTAATGCTGTATAAATCATTTGAAGATTTCATGTACTAACCTGTTGAAAAGCTTGAACGGTTGCAGAATAAGACCGTAAAGCCAAGGAAAACTTCAACAAGTTCTGCTGCAAAGGTGACAGACTGCGGCAGGCTGCTTTCAGCATTTCATGGTAAGAAGTATAATCACTACCTGCAAAGTCAGAGTACAAGCAGTTTTCTTTCCATACCATATTCGTATCAAAGAGGGGCTTTTTATCCTAATTTTGATTACTAATTGTGAATCCTAATTGTGATTTATACTAACAGAAGCCCATGACATTAATTGTAAATATGCACATGTCCATTCCTCCTCAATTTTCATTACAGCGAGTTCTGCAGCTGGATGAGAGTGACCTTCAATTGAAATCCATGACAGTACACTTAAATACACTGGCAGAGGACACAAACATAGGGAGGCAGGAAACAGTTAAGAGCTCCCATTTAATTTGATAAATAGAAACACAAATAAAAAGCATTTATAGTATTAATATTCCATGTTGAAATAGAAACTGGCAAGCAAAACACGTTTCAGACTTACCCACTACAGCTTTTGTCAAAACAGATGTTTTGAGCACCTTGTAGTAAAATTATTACTGAAATCAGTCCTCATTTGACTTTTACAATATGAACACAATGAAAGATAAAACATTGTGGTTTATTTTTCAACCATGTCATCTATCAGTCATCATCCAGCAAAAAAAAACATGAAAAACTTACCATCATGTTCAGATGTCTTAATATTTTGACTGGCTTCTACAAAATTCCAGAATTTTTCTTGACCTTCTTCTGATAAAAATTCACTGAGTGAGAAGAGTTGAGTTAGCTACACGTAGGACTTGTCTCTCAAGTTACAACTGTAATACTTTGTAAAGCTTTACGGAAAGTTAGCTCTTACCATATGTTTACCTCTACCAGGCAATCACAGGTTACTAGAAAAAGCAGACTAGGAAAGGTAAAAATGTCCCCAAACAAACAGATAATAGTAGCAGGCCAGGACTAACACAGACGACACAAAAGAAGCTTGTAAGGCACCTGTTAATCTCTCAAAGACCCCTAACAGATACCAGCGTATATCATGGGAGCTCTCCCCTCTAACGCATTTCTTTGCTAGGTGTTTTTTATGGCAGACATATATTTTTGTTTACCTTGCTGCAACAAACTCTAGTTTTTTGGAGCTACAGGACTTGGTGAGTTTGTTTGCTTTTAAATCAGCAAAAGGAGAAGCCACAGCTTCAAATCATGATATTGTAATTCCCCATCTATTAAGCATATGATTAGGCAGATATACAACATTAAATAGTAAAATAATTCTCTAAACATTGCTAAGAACAAATACTTTATGCTGTCTAAACTTGTAACATGCTTCATATGCGAATGGATGCTATAACAGAAGATGTAGAGCCCACTGGCTGCCACGATAGCTTTTGTGTTCATTTCTGTCCTCACCTGAGGTGGTAAGTACTTCTTGAACATCTGGGCGATGAATTGCAGTGCTGGGCTAAGTAAATTGAACAGCAGGAATGATTTTACACTGCAGTGCTGTATCATCCTGCAATTCCTCCCATATGAACCATCCTACCTACCCAAAATCTTTGAACATAATGGTTAGGTTATAATATCGAGCCTTTGGCACATGATTTTGATTATTTGCTTACTATTTCAGTCTCTTAGGGTGACCTTTTACACCAAAAATGGCTTGCATTGATGGGGTATTCAAATCCTGGCATATTATTGGGAAAGGATTTTTCAGTCCTCAAACTTCAGCTTCTATAGGGAAGGTTATAGAAAAGTAATTTCACCAGGGAAACACCTATCCCAAAGCCAAAAGCTGTGCCTGTTTGAACAAAATCCATCAGTGCTCAGCTATTCTCATGTGAACCAATCTGTAATAACAGCCAGAATTTTTATGTGATTAAGAATTATTCCTTAAGTGATACAAAGTTAAACACACACACAAACATCTAGAAGTCCTGTTTTGCATAGACATCTCCAAACGAGAACACTGCAAAATGAAACAATGAGGACTTCTGAAGTGCTAAGTAGACTAGCAGTGTAAAGACAGCATTTTGCTCTCTGTTTCGTTTAAAATGTATTTTTACATGTTTTCTTTTTAAATAATGTCTTTAAAAAAAAGAGGGGAAAAAGGTCATTAGTACTGTAAAAGAAATCTCCCCAGGCTGATCTGCACAACTCCCTTACCAAAGAAGCTGACTTTAGATAATCAATGCACAGTTCCCTTGAACAAAGTTAAACTCAAGCTTTACGTATGCAAGCAACAGCAGATAAGTATCAAAACCTACAGTCATAGTTGAAGTAAAAAAACTTCTACTATGGAATCTTATGAGACTACGCTAAACTTCTCAGTCTAGTGCTTTGAGTAGGTAAAACTTCGCAAGGTAAAAAATACTGTGGAATTATTCATTATTATTACTGTTCTCATGCACAATGAAAGAATTTACCCACCAAAAACTACTACTCTAAAATATTCATCCCATCTCCCCAAGCACAGCAATGATCATGTTCAACTGAGTGTTACTATTGCTGCCAAAGAGTCAATAATGACCAGAGCCCAAAGCACACAAAACAAGTGAAACGGAGAACACATTAAGTTATCCTCTAAGCATACTGATTTGTCAACAACAACAAAAAAATCACAATACACTTACCTTGCTTCAAGTAACAAAGGAGTTGAAGACCACTTTGTAGTTAGAGATGTTGTGACAGCCTTAGAATGTCCTCTTACAAGTGAAGAGCTAAAGCAGATTCCAAGAACTGCAATAAGTATTCCCATTTTACAGAAGAAGCCTTAAACAACATTAAGGAAAAAAAAAGTTAGTTTTGCATTGTCTCTTTTTACAAATACAGAATCTCACACATCCAAATATGTTAAGGACTATTTTAAGATTCAGGGGCCCATTTAATGCAGTGTATCAGTGACATAATCATCGTCTCACCTGGGCATACAAAATGAAAAATACTATGAAAACATGAAAAGACGCAAGGATGTTAAGATCTGACTCCTAAGCTGCAGTTAAACCTAAATCAGTTCCAGCTCTGTCTACGTTTATGCTTTCAAATAAACCTGTTTCTGTTCTGGGACACCCACATCACACACTGCTTGCTCTATCAAGAGGTATTACAAGCAGCGTGAATTTCAAAGTAGGTGGCAAAGCAGCCCACTGTCTGTTTTATGGGAGGTCAAGTCACATACTGTGTTTGCTGGTGTACTAACCAAGGTCAGAAGAGCCAGGCAAGGTGAAGGTTCCCTCGTCAACCCTTGAGGTTCTGCAGGGTACAGTGGACTTCTCTGGGGAATGAAGAAACAAGCATTTCCCAGATGCACTAAGTACCACCAACTTTAGAAGCTGAAAAATGAATGAAATAATGAAGACAGACTCAAATTATACAGCTTACCATGAGAAATGAGCCCCCCAAAAATGCCATTTCTTTACTGTCCTCCATGTGTATTTCCATGACCACATATTCTCTAACCTGTACACTACAACACAGCTGAGTGGAATTTCCTTGCCCTCAGCTCTTGAGCTTATGGAATACCTGAATTCTCCTCTTAGCTTTCCATTACATTCTCCAAAAATTCAAGTTTTGAGTTTTCTCCCTACTGGAGTATATTTACTACACACCCAACATCCACCCAGGCACTCCCTTACTTCTTAATCCTTATTTTTCTGGCTAATTCTTTTCCTATTCCATCCTGTAACTTTAAAACCAGCCCACTCAAATTCCAGGTATATCACACCTGACAACCTGCATCTAATTTGTCTCTCTCTTTCTTGATGATCTCCATATAAAAAAAAGTCTTATGTGTTACATATCTGTAGCTTTCTGTGTCTCAGTGTCACAGAATCAGAGAATTGTTAGGGTTGGAAGTGATCACCCAGTCCAACCCCCTGAACAGTCAAGGCAGGGCCACCTAGAGCAAGTTACACAGGAACGCACCCAGGTGGGTTTTGAGTGTCTGCAGACAGTTCAAATGGTCATGGTTAAATTGTCAATGTCCTTCCTTTCACAATGAAAATGGAAATGCCCTGCTATAACACCCAAAGAACAACTTGCTCAGCTGCACACCTCTGCTTTACAGCGCACCTGGGAAGCAGACAGATGGCATCGCATGACATGCACGGTTACACCTACCGCTCACTGTGGGCAGAGGAGGAAGCTCAGTCAGTATTTGTGCAGTGAAACCTCTGCTTCTGCCAAGCACAACAGAAAAAAACAGGTTTGCTGTCCCGTCAGAATCATGTCCTTATAAACTGTAGAAACACAGAATGGTTTGGGTTGGAAAGGACCTTAAAGCTCATCCAGTTCCAACCCCTGCCATTCCACCTTGTTTGGTCACTACCTGCCCTTGTCAAAAGCCCCTCTCCAGGTTTCCTGTAGCTCCTTTAGGCACTGGAGCTGCTCTGAGGTCTCTCTGGAGCCTTCTCTTCTCCAGGCTGACCCAGCCCAGCTCTCTCAGCCTGGGTCCGTAGGATTCACTGCAAATCATACACAGCTGTTTGGAACATGTACATGAATATACCATACTGCATTCTTGCCACTAAAACTGCTGTGCTGCTCTCTCAAGCCTGCTTTCCCATGCTGGAAAGACTGAAATAAAAGCCTTTTATTATGTGAAATAGGTGACAAACATGTCCTTTATTTTTTCCCTAACACCGCTTTAGCAGCTGGAAAGAAAAGCAGATTAGAAATATCTGCACTCCCTGGATAACAACAGCCAAAGGGAAGACCAGTATCTCCAAGTGAAATAAAAACATGCCATGGAGACCAGAAGAGACAAGAGGCATGGGAATTCAATCATAGAATCAATTAGGGTGGAAAAGACCTTTAAGATCATCAAGTCCAACTGTTAGTGAACAGAAAGGACAGGGGATCCAGCTCTGCTCTTTGTGAGGTAACAAAGCAAACCCCAGTCTGAATTAAGAAGGAAAAAACTGCATTTGTAACTCTTTTTCCTCCAGTTAGGCAGTTTAAAATACGGCTGACTTCTGGAAACTTGTGCATCCAGCCTTGGACATGGGAATAAATCATCCCACAGCCACAGGTCCTGCTGGGCCATGAGAGCACCGACTTCTGCCATGTCCTGCGAGGTGT